TAATGTAGTGATACTTCGAATCCTGATAACCTAGAAACACACACACACTCACTCACACACACACACACACGCACACACACACACACACACATGCATTAACATACGTACACATACTCAAGAACAAGCGTGTATGTACTCAGTCATGTAATATATATGTGATAGTAATAATACTAATACTAATACTAATACTAATGGTCATACGTTTAAAAGTAATAACGATGATGACAATGATAACAGAGATAGTAATTATAATAGCAACAATAACCACAACGATAATTGAACTTATGGTGATAATGATAACAATATCAAAAATAATAATAATGATAGTGATAACAATAATGGTAATAACGATAATGCAGTTATAATGGTGATGATGACAATGATAGTAGTTGCAACAATAGTAGCGATAGTAGTAGAAATAGTAGCAGTAACAACAACAGCAGTAGTAGTAATAGTAGAATGTAGTTGAGCTAGTTGTAGTGTTGGAATAATAGAAATAGTAGTAGTATTAGTAGCAGTGGTTGTGGTACTACCTCTACTACTATTACTACTAATGATAATTCCTTTTATTCTTAATATCATCCAACTCTTGTTTTTTTTTTTATTCTTTCCTGCCTCCTATTGTTTTTTCTTTTATATTTCCTCTCCCTTTCTTCCTTTCTGCCTTTTTTTTTCTTTTAGGTCTATTTTCCTTATCTCTCTGCACCCCTTCGTGTAATATTCCTTTTACATATTCCTTTTCTCTTACATCCTATCATCCCTCCTCTTCCCTTTCATCCTTCCTCGTTTTATTCCTTTCACTCCTCATTCTCTCCTCCCCCCTTTCCATCCTTAGATTTATCTCTATCCCCTTCTTTCTCTCGTCTTGCTATCTCATTCTTCTTCAACTTTATCCCATCTCCCAGTCTCCGTCCTTGTCCTTGTTATCTTTTTTTTTTTTTTTTTCCTTTTTCATCCTGTTTTATTTCATTTTTATTCGATTTCTCTGTTTTTAAATTCATCTGAAACTTTTTAATTTCAACAACAACGCAGAGGAGGCAACCGGATGTAAAAATATATTTCTTTTTTTTTTCCTTCTCTTTTGTCTTTTTTTTCATCCTCTCTTCCTCATTTACGTATCCTTTCTTCTTCCTTCGTTTATTTCCTCTGCTTTTCTTTTCTTACTTTTTCCTGTATGTCTTTTTTATCTATTCATTGTTTTGTTTCTCTCTCTCTTCTTCTCCTTTATTATGACATTTCCGTTTTTCGTCCTTATTGTTTTTTCCTTCTCTTTCTCTTCTTCCTCCGTATCCCGAATTCCTTCTTGTATATATTTTGTCCGTTTTTTCAAATTCCTCTCGTCTGTCCTTCAGTTTTAACATTCTTTTTTTCCTTCCTCTTTTCTCATCTCCCTCCCCCTTCTTCTCCTTCTTTCCTTCCTTCGTCTTCCAACTTCCTTCCTTTATCCGATCTACACCTTCGTTTCTTTTTCTTTCCATTTCCTGCTCCCCTCTTTTCCGTCCTTCTCACTCCTCTTACTTCTCTTCACTCTCCTCCTTCTCTCCTCCTTTTACTCTCCTCCCTCCTCTTCATTCCTTCACCCCATCCTCTCTTTTTTTTTTTTTTTTTTCTCCTCTTTATCCCTGCTTCTTTTCCTCTCTTTTATATCTCTTTTATCCTTCCTTCCTTCCCTCTTTCTCCTTCTCCAGTTTTTTCTCCTTTTTTTTTCCCTTCCTCCACTTCCCTTTCTCCCTCCCTTCCCCTCTCCACTTTCCTTCCCTTCTTCCCCTTTTTCTCCTTCCTCCTCCTCCTCCTCCTCCTCTCCTCCACCTCCCGCTCCTTCCACCCCTTCCCCACTTTCTCCCTTCCTCCTCCTCCTTCCTTCTTCTCCTCTTCCTTCTCTTCCCACTTCCTCCTCCTCTCCTTCCTTTCTTCTCCTTCCCTCCCGACTTTCCTCCCTCCTACCTCTCCCCCTTTCTTCCCTCTCCTCCCCTCCCTCCTCCTTCTCCACTTTCTACTTCCCGCCTCCTCCTCTCCTCCCCTCCCTCCTCCCTCTCCATACCCCTCTCCTTCCCATCCTTCCCACTTTCCCTCCCCTCCCCCTCTCCCAGCCTCCCTCTCCTCCTTCTCCACTTTTCTCCTCCTCCCTTCCTCTCCCCACTTTCTTCCTTCCCTCCTCCTCCTCCTCTTCTCCTCCTCCGTCGCATACACATACCCGAAGCCCAATACAGCTGATACCACATCAATACCAGGGTTCGAGCCTTTGCAATTGACGCCAGAGGTCCTAGCCCGTACAGCCACATCAGCGGCAATAAATTCTCGACGGTGATATGGCAGAGAGACAGAAGCTTTGTTTTCATTGTAGTTTTCATGTCATTGGGTCAGAGGTTGAGGATGATGGAGTGGGTGGAGGCGAGGGCGAGGGGGATAGGGAGGGGATAGAGGGAGGGAGAGAGGGGGGGAGAGGGGGAGGGAGGGAAGAGAGGAGGAGGGAGGGAGGGAGGGAGAGAGGAGAAGAGGTGAGTGAGAGAGAGAGAAGAGAAGAGAAGAGTACAAAGAGAAGAAAAAAGAGGCGTGAAGAGATTAAGAGATAGATAATTAGACAGATAGACATACAGACAAACAAACAGACAGAGAAAGAGAGATAGACAGACAAACAGCAAGATAGAGAAAAGCCGTGATAAGAAAGAGAAAAAACAAAAAACAAGAGAAAAGCGCCAAAATAGACAATTTCTACGTGCCCGACGATGGTGCCGAATTATGGAAAACAGATGCAAGGGCGATAAACTCGGAGGTAAAAGATGCCAAGCCTCAAGGAAATCCATTTCGCGTCACGGAGAGATAAAGGCGCGAAAATTCGAAGAACGGAGACCGAAACGAGACACTTAAAGGCAGATAACAAGGGAGTGACGATTGTCGCCGTTAGAGAAAACGGGAACGGAGAATTTTCGGAGGGTCTGTGCTGCCGCAGCCTTGCAATCTCGCTTCTGTTTCAGTTTCATCCCTTTTTCTTTCCATTTCCTTCCTCCCCTCTTTCCGTCTTTCTCACTCCTCCTACCTTCTCTTCTCTCTTCCTTCCTCTTCTCTCCTCCTTTCTCACCTCTCCTCCCTCCTCCCTCTTTCTCACCTCTCCCTCCTCGTAAGAAAAGGGCGACGGAGGGATATAAAGATCAGGGGCTGGTCCTTTACCGTGGCGAACCGGCAATGAACCCTGGGTTGCGGAAATGTTGGTCTGGTGCATCTGCAGTGACTCACGATTGACTCACCAAACTAAATCTTTTGAAGAACAGTAGTAGCAGTTGCTGCAACAACAGTAGCGATAGTAGTAGAAATAGTAGTAGTAGTAACAGCAGCAGCGATAGTAGTAATAGTAACAGCAGCAGCGATAGCAGTAGTAATAGTAGAGAAGTAGATGTGCTAGTTGTAGTGTTGGAAGAATAGAAATAGTATTAGTAGTAACAGCTATATTAGTAGTAGTAGTAGAGAAGTAGTTGTTCTGCTAGTTGTAGTATTGGAATAATAATAGAAATAGCACTAGTATTAGTAGCAGTGTTTGTGATACTACTTCTACTATTATTACTACTAATGATAAAAAGGATCATAATAATCATTATCAAAATAAATGTTATTAATCATAATGATAGTGGAAATAATTATTATAGTAATAACAGAAAAAATAATGATAATGAAAACTGCAACACAGCAACGGCAAAGAAACGAATAACGAACATGAGTAGATAAAGATAAGTGACGCTAAACAGGAGAATTATGTTGCAAGGAAATAGCATCACGGAACATCAAAGGAAGCCATTACGTCACACAAGAAAGGATGAAACTTGGTCGAACAACTTATCATAAAGGAAAGAAAGAAAGAAAAAAAATCACATCAGTGAATTCTAGTCACTTCATTCTCTTTATAATAAGAATGATAAAAAAAAATAAAAATCATTCGCTCCTATAGTCTTCCCTCTTATCCTCTTTCTTTCCTCTTGTCATTTTTCTTTTCTTTATTTCTAAAATCCTTTCTTTCGATCTTCCCCTTTCCTCTTTGGTGCGACTCCTCAATCCTTTTGTCATTTTTCTTTTTATTTTTTAATCCTTTCTTTCGATCTTCCCCTTTCCTCTTTGGTGCGACTCCTCAAACTCATAATTTTTTTTTCTATCCTATTATTTTTCTTTCGTTTTTCTTTTTTATCTTCTTTATCTTTCCTTCCGATCTTCCCCTTTATGGTACAACTCCTCAAACTCCCCACTTGTTCAGGATCGACCAGGTACTTCCGGCAAATGGCAGAACTTCAGGAGCGAGGCAGTTCCAGCACTCGACTTGGTACAAAAGAAAAGCATCAATGTTTAGGTAGGAGGCGATGAAGGGTGAAGAGGGGGGGAGGTGGAGGGGCGAGAAGGGTAAAGCGAGCTCTATGATTTTCTTTCCTGTTTTTGTCTTTTCATATTCGAGGTTTAGGTTGTGTTTGTTTTGTCTTTTCCCCCACTTTTCTTTTTTTTCTTCCTCTTCTTCTTTTTCTTCTTTTTTGGGGGCTTCTGCTGATTTTCCAATTCGAGGCTGATGGATGAAACTTGTCCATTCCACATCAATCATTTATTCCCCCTCTCCCTTCGTCCATATATTAATTTCATGAACGGCA